ACAATTGCAAAATAATTTTATTACTACATACAATTATATTTTACCTCTTTTTATATTTTTTCCTCGAAAATCCAAGTCTTTTCGTTTATTATAAAATTATTTTAATCAGCGAAATACTGAGGCAGAAGTTTGTTATGACGAAATGGGTAATTATTTCGAAACATTTAGCGGAGCGAAGCTTTACGAAAACAAGAGGGAATCATTTCATTGCCGTAAATCTCCCTCCTCTTTCATGTTTACGTAAGCTCTCATCGATAGTATGCGAAATCATCAACAATGGAATCGCTTATACAATCCCGTCGATTCGCTCTAATGAAAGGACCGAAACGTTCGCGTAATTTCCGCAAGCACTAATTGTCCCATCAGAAATTGCATGATTAGTTACGATATTCGAGGTGTACTCTCTAATTACGGAGCACTATCGGCGGTGGAAAATATTTCTCGATTACACACGTGTTGTCGCGTCGATGCAATTTCATATGCGGCCTCTCCTTCTTTCTCTCTCTCTCTCTCAATTTTTTTCCGATACGCTCTATCGACTGAATATCGCGCATAACCGGTTATGTTGCGCAGTCGTCGCGAACAATACGCACTGGTTCGTCAAGGTGCAACAACGTGCAATGAGTCATAAAAATGTAAAACGGAGTAAAAAAAAAATACGACCTCGATCCTGCCAGGATTCGAACCTGGAATCTTCTGATCCGTAGTCAGACGCGTTATCCGTTGCGCCACAGGACCATCTGATTACGAAATAGTGCTAAACGACTTATCAAGGGGTAGGAAACTCGAGAGTTTGATAATATTTAATTGTAGATAATAATATATGAAATATAATAATGACCATAAATAATAATAAATAAAAATAATAATTCCATAATTTATCACGTGTAGAACATCCTATATTCCTACAAAATATGACATTTCTTTATTATGTAGGGTTGGGTAAGTTAATGATTTTTTTTTAAACTAAGTTAAATTAAAGTTAGTTGCTTATAAAATTAATTTAGTTAAGTTAAAAGTTGTATGAACAAAAAATTAACTCAGTTCGAGTTAAGATTAAATTAACTGAAGTTAAATCTCAAAAGTTAATTTTTAAAAACATTATTTATATTAAATTAGAATTTCGTTTGTTAATTATTTTAAAGTTTATAATAACAAATAACGAAGAAATTTTTATTTTTATATAAAAATGTATTTTTTGGTAATTACAATTGATGACAAATGAACATAAAAATTATAATAATACTTTAATTTAAAAATACGTTTATAATTTATAAAAAAACAATAATGCGATATTCAGAGATAAAAAATCAACTTAAGAAAAAAAGTTAATAAGGTCAAAAATTAACTAGTTGAAGTTAAGAATTAATACATTTTAAATTAACTAAACTAAGCTTAAAAGTTATTACCTTTATGCGTGCATTATTTTGTTAATTTTTTTCATATGATTTCATTCATTCTGAACAGCAAATATCAATCATTATATAATATACATAAATAAGCATAAATGGGGTATAAAATTGAAGTGACCGAATGTCCTAGTTTTCGAGGACATGTCCTTTTTCGACGTCCTTCAGGATTTTCAGATCTGACCTAGTTTTGTGTTTATAGTTTGCGACGAAAGATTTCAAATATATTGCTACACTGAAAACAAAATTTGTTAAATTAACAAATATTTATTGTTAGTTCAATACTGTCAAATGAATCATTTATTTGAAACAAATCAATATTTATTTGTTTTGAAAAGGATTTCTTATATCAAATAAATATATATTTCATATCAAATCAATATTATTAGTTTCAAATAAATTATTTATTTGACAGTATTGAAATAAATACTTATAAGCATTAAATAATTTTTTTCAGTGTACTGATAACATTTCGAAATTAAGTAATCAGATGGTTCTGTTAATCAGCTTTATTTTATAATAAATTCTATTCATAAACGTAATCTCAAAATTAAAAAAAGAGTGAATAATCTATCTCTGAACAAAAAAGAGAAACTATGAAGTCAATAATTAATATATACATAGTTTCTATCTTGTAGAAAGTATAAATATCTTAATTCCTTTCGCGCTGTCATTCATCCGGAATATTTATCAATCGCCGCAAGAATAAACTGAGAGTGGGAGAGAAAAAAGGAGAGCATATATAATTTATCTATTATTTCACATGTATGGCCGCATATATTATGTAGTGACGCCAAGAATATAATAATAGACGTAGTTTAGGTTCCGATATATCGGACGCTCTAATTATTATTACCTCGTGTCTTTTTATTCGAATTTGCAACTTTAACGATAAACTAAAAATAACCGAGCAAGGATTATTATTATAAATATCTCAAATGTGCGTGGTGTAAGTCTGATAATTTCGTCGCTCGCTCGTTTTATGTCCAAATATATCCGTCCGTCTCTCGCTCCTTTATAAATTTCGCGAGGATCCCTTTCCTTTCTCTTCCCTTCGCGAGAGGCGAATATTTCACGGACACGTTGAATTGCCTTCGCGCATCGATCTTGGGGAAAATCGCTCGTTTTCGCGGCGCGCACCATCACATAAAACGTTTCGTTTAGTCGAACGTACACTGTAAAAAAAAAATTGTAATATTACATTAAAAAAATTACATAAATAATAAATGTAAAATTATACAACAAATAATGAAGAGATATACATTTTCATTATTTATCGTGTAATTTTACACTTATTATTTATGTAATTGTACATATTTTTATGTAATATTACATATTTTTTTCCAATATATGTATATATGTTATATTATATATTTATAATATAATATAACATATATTATATATATTTTTTGATAGATATGTTTGATGTGACGTGTACACTGTAAAAAATATGCAATATTACATTAAAAAAATATGTAATAAAATTACATAAATAATAAATGTAAAATTACACAACAAATAATGAAGAGATATACATTTTCATTATTTATCGTGTAATTTTACACTTATTATTTATGTAATTGTACATATTTTTATGTAATATTACATATTTTTTTCCATATATGTATATATTTTATATTATATATTTATAATATAATATAACATATATTATATATATTTTTTGATAGATATGTTTGATGTGACGTGTACACTGTAAAAAATATGTAATATTACATTAAAAAAATATGTAATAAAATTACATAAATAATAAATGTAAAATTACACGACAAATAATAAAGAGATATATATCGTGTAAAATTTTATACTTACTATTTATTTAATTTTACATATTTTTATGTAATATTACATATTTTTTCCATATATGTATATATGTTATATTAAATACTAATATTATATTATATATTTATAATATAATATAATATACATTATATACATTTTTTGATGTGACATTAATTTATCGATACATCGAGACTGACAAAGATAATCATGAAAATTACAGCAACCTGTTATTTACATTTAATCGTGATTGATTATAATGACATTAGAGTAGGATGTGATTTTTTTCGCATACAAAGATGATAAAATGGGATTCCATTTATCGCGATATCGGTGATATAATAGGAGGAACGCACCCATTTTCTCCGGAAGTGCGGTGAGATGTGTATACGAGCGGCATTGTTTCTCGCGATTCATCTTCGTATATATTGTACATATATATTATACATATACATGCATATATCGAACGAGTTCGAGCGTGTTCCGGTTCTCGAAGTTCTCGATAGCTGTGTTCGACGCGTGTCATGTTTTTTAACGAACGTGCACAACAGTCGGTCGACAACGGTAAATCAATACGCGATGTAATTTTCAGAGAAAATCCCTCTGTAATGAAACGCGAGCCAAGAGAGAGAAAGAAAAAAAATCATAAATGTATTTTCAATATTTATAGAGAGATTTAATCGTCTCGGTTATTTCCGGTATATCTTTTTCATTGCAAATTCTAATAAAAGAGATGATAATCGGAACATCCAATACCGAAAGTTTATAATAGAAATATGCAAGTGACAAAGTTTATAATTATATTTCTCACATCGTTGCGAAATAATAATCTGCACATTACTATACATATATATTGAATAAAAAAATTATTAAATTAATAAATTTTATTTTAATACTGACAAATAATTTATTTGAAACATAAATATTTTTTCACATCAAATCAATAGGTATTATTAGTTTCAACTAAATGAATTTATTAGGTGGTGTTGAAATAAATATTTATTCGCATTCATTAAATTTTTTTTTTCAGTGTACGTTAGAAGAGAAAAATCAGATTTTTGTCAAGATCGATTTATTTTATATTTAAGTGTTTCCTTTTGTTTAAGATCATATTTACTAAATATAGATTTTATATTATCCTTTTACTTTTAAGACGGTAAAACATCAAAGTTTATGAAGGAAATCCCATCGGGTTTTTCTTTTCCTTTCTTCTTTTTTTATTGAATAATAACTCTATAAATTATACGGAAGGAAAAGTCTACGGTTATGCGTGACGCGGACGAAATATAAGGATAATCACATAATTTCATAGTCTACGGTACAACGCCATTTCTTTTATGTAACAATGTAAATACACTGATTGTGAAAAAAAAATTGTAAGCTTGAGTAAACCTTTCAACTAAATTCCTATTTTGTTAAAGCAACATATATTAGTATTTAAATCAAATATACGTTTTGTTAGACTTCTATTAATTTAATATCAATATATCTTTCAATTAAACAAACTAACATTTCGTTAAAGAGTTTAATCAAGTTAACCAATTTTTTTTCAGTGCAGCGAGCGACAAAAAAAATAAAGGATTAGCGCAGAACTTCTCCTTTTTCCTTTTTTTCGCCGCCTACATAAAAGCGGAGTCGATAAGCGCGCGCGACTGTATTTACGTCGCGGTATGTCACGTTAATAGCTGGGCGCGATAGTGACGTAAAACTCGCCGACTTGTCAAACATACGTCAAAAATTCCGAACTGTCAAATTCAGTTCGCGGGAAGAAAAATCATATAATTCGACACTTACGATTAGCCGCGGGGAAATTTGGCGCGTCGACGATGTCACCCCGTGCGTTGATCGTCCTCCAAGAGAGAGAGAGAGAGAGACAGGAGAGTGTCCGCACGTTTTATATCCTCGCAAATTGCACACCGTGTCGTAAAGATGCGCGACGAGAGCTTCGATTCCGCGATCGCGAGCGACGCGAATCACGTGGATCACATCCTCGCGCGTGTCTCGCTCAGAGAAGCGCGAACGCGGCCGAAACACGCTGCGTACCTCCGCGGACCGTCGTCGCACTCGCCATTTTGATTCGCACTGACTGTTGTTTCGTCGCGAGGTGTCCTGCGCGACGCGGCGCGACGCGCATGCGCGTGACAGGTGGCTGCCCGGGTGTCAAACCACGCCACCCCCACCGCCGCAGGTGACGGCGAACTCTCGTGTTACCTGGTCTGCTCTCTGTCTTACCGACTAGAGAGCCAGTGTCTCTCAACTCATCAATCGATATTATGTCAAAAATCAGGATTCGGTAAACAGTAGAAAAATTTGTTTTCTTGTTAAAAATTTAACTATAAAGATGAGATAAAAAGATCTAAATTCATCTTAGATAAGATGAAGATGATTTTGTTTTAAATATATATGTATAGATAAAAAATAAAATTATATGGCGATTCATCTAGATAATTTTAAGATAATATTATTTTTAAGATTGTTTATGTAAACACAGTTTTATAAAAAAAAAAATGTAAATTATAAAAAGAATATAAAAATATATGTATTCATATTTTTATTTATAAACTTTTTAAATCATTTAGTAAAGATAATACTATTTTTCATCTAAGATGCAGATATAGATAATACATATTATTATTTATTTAAAGATAAGATGACGCCAAAGTTTCATCTAGATAATCATCGATATAATTTTATTTAGGTAACAACAAACAATGAAAATACGTAAATAAGCAAATCACTATATTATAAATTTATTGCACTCGAATAATCAAATTCGATGATACTGCATTGTATTTCGAAAAATGAAAAGTTTTCATTCTATTATAGAGAATGTTATCGAGAACCGTCATTCTGAATAAATTTGAATGATTGTCACTAAATAAATAATAAAAACTAACAATATTACCGATCGTTGGCTGTAAAGGTACTCACGAATGTTTCAATTTATCCAGTCGCTATTATTACTTTATAAATTTTTAATGTATCAGTTGTTGGTATTATGCCAATAAATTAATCACAATTCAATTTAAATAATTATAAATAATTTTAAAATCGAATTCAACTTTAGAAAAATGTAAAATAAAACAAATATGAATATTAGAAATAAAGAAAAATAAAATATTCCCCATTAATGAAAAGGATGACGTATGTAAGTCGCATAATTTTAATATCGAATAAATTGTTTTTTCTGCGATTGTTGCATATTTACCTAAATTATAATATTAAATATTATTAAAAATTAAAAAAAAAAAAAAAAAAAAGATGGCCCATGGGGGGATCGAACCCACGACCTTCGCGTTATTAGCACGACGCTCTAACCAACTGAGCTAATGGGCCTTCTTACTAGGGGCTATCCGTGACAGTATTTTCTGTACAACTGTGACATTCACTTGCCAAAATAATATGCTTGGAAAAAAGCAAAATAAATCGGACCCTCGTCTTTCGTTAAACTTTCAGAACGATGCTCTAACCAACTGAGCTAACAGACCATATATATAATTAGCTAATTTTCTAATCAATACTTATTTTTAATACTCGGAATTTTTTTATAAAAATTCAATTTTACGAATAGAAATGTATGACAAACTTGCAATTAGTTAAAAGATTTAATTTATTTTCATGGATAAATTTTATCAATATCATTACAAGATTCTCTATATAATTAAATGGATTTATTTCCCATGGCTAAACAATTCTTTATCGATGCATAAAAATTATTTAAATTAACTATTTATTATTTAAATAAATTATTCATATTATTAAAATATATTATTTAAATTTATTCTTTCTTATCAATGAATAAAAAAGAATAAATGTAAAAAAAAAAAATTACGTATCTAAAAATAATTACGTGTAATTACTCGTTTCTTTAAATAATATCTTTTCCAACGTATCGCGCGAAATTATATGTTCCTACTGAACTCGAAGATATATTATCGTCGAGGTTGTTTGTGAAACGAGAATATATTATATCTTTTCCTCTTTTTTTTATCTCGCCAAGACTGATAATGACGTTAATCCGTCACCTCCCGAACACACGAGGACGGCCGTCCTCGTCCGAGAACTCTTTTGCGTAAAGAGTTCGTGAACCCTATATCGATTCCAACTATTCATAGAAAAGACACAGGAACGGTCAATGGACTGCAGTTCGCTTCGATTGATATATGCATTACGTAGAGGGTTAAAAGCAAGTCTATAACTGACTTCCTTCTTTCGCAACTTATATATAAAGTGCAAATTGGTCGAACGTCAACGTGTATGTATATGTCGCAAGGGCATCGCTGTAAAATCGAAAAGCTGCCCTTCGAGGACACCTAGATGCGTTATTAATCAGGATGCAATTTATAATTCATAAACTCGTACGTTGAAAAAAAATTATTCAATAATTATGCCTAATAAATTATTTATTTGAAACAAATATTATTTTAAATAAATTATGATATATATGATAAATCAAGGTATTTTTATATAAATAAACTATTTGTAACTGTCCTTCGAGGACACCTAGATGCGTTATTAATCAGGATGCAATTTATAATTCATAAACTCGTACGTTGAAAAAAAATTATTCAATATTTATTTCAATAATTATGCCTAATAAATTATTTATTTGAAACAAATATTATTTTAAATAAATTATAATATATATAAATCAAGGTGTTTTCATATAAATAAACAATTTGTAGCTGTCCTTCGAGGGCACCTACAGATGCATAATTAATTATAATGCAATTTATAATTCATAAACTCGTAAACTGAAAAAATTATTAAATTTGAATAAATATTTATTTCAATGCTGCCTAATAAATCATTTATTTTAAACAAAGAAGTTATAATATATATACTGAAAAGTTTGTTAAATTAACAAATATTTAGTTCTATATATGTTCAAATGAATCATTTATTTGAATGTGTTAAAGTAAATATTTGTTAATTTAACAAACTTTTTTCAGTGTATAAATATTATTTTTTACATCAAATTAGTATTATTAGTTTCAAATAAATAATTTATTTGGCAGTATTGAAATAAATATTTATTCAAATTTAATAATTTTTTAGTTTACTAATTTCTTAGTTTATTAATTAATCCGAATCCTTTCTCTTAAATAGATGTATGTTAAAAATTAAAAAGATTTTCTTATCAAGATAACGACAAGTTAACGTGAGATTCTAAAAATAATAATGCATTTTTTTCAACTTGTAATGTAAGAAAATATTGTCGCAAATTTGCAATTATTCATATAAAATTTGGAGCGGAAATAATAAATCTCATAAATATATACATTTAAATAGATAGGTCGGTTGTATTGTGTAAAGAAGAAGAGAAACGTCAAAAGAATATGTCACCAAGAATATTACACAAATATTAAAAAGGAAAGGTGCGAGTTTTCATAAAGTCCGAATGTCTGACATTAACATTATATGGACCATGAATTATAAAATTTATACGTATTTTGCGTCATCTACGTAGTTGCACGAAATGTATTGGGAAATCATTATGATGTGTGAATAACGTGAGAATGTAATCGGAATAATAAATTTAAAGAAAAAAATTGTCTCTCCGGCAATAAAACGTTTCAACAGAAGATATAATATTGCTAAAACTTCCTGTTTTTTTTTTGCAAGCATTTCAACATAAATTTTATAAAAATATTTTATATTGGTTCAAATTTTATGAAACAATAGAACCAAGATGTCACATTCTTCGCTTTATTTTATAATAAATAGTTGCAAAATCTGTAATGTATGCAAAATAAAAAAGAAAATAACTCAATGTATTTTTTCTTTTCTTTTGCTTTCAGAATGTGTGGAGACAAGCATATATGTGACTTAATGCTATGATTATATCTACATGTTTACGATTTTACAACGTTTCTCAACGTTTCTCATTTGCATGTTTTGTGTCTGCAGCCGAATTATAAATTTCAATCTTTGAAATGAGAAATTTTTTCAAGTTTATTTCCATCTTTGAAATACGTTTTGATGAAAAATTTTATCTGCAAAATGATTAATTTTATCTGTACGTATCATTTGAAGAGAACGCGTACTTGATTTTTTAAATTTATATATTCCAAAAAAAGAGAACACTTGTAAAAGTCTGCGAGATAATACGGCTTATCACAGCTGTGTTTGCTATTTTCATCTGGCTCTATTTTGTGCTGTAAGTCTCTTAGAAATCGCTTTAATTAAGTAGCATATACGTTTTTTAATAATTTTTAATAAATGGAATTTAAAATATTGTATAAAGTAAATAATAAAAAATCTAAAAAAAAGAAAAAGTTTAAATTATTATTTTATGAATTAAGAATAAGACCAACGAGAAAAATATTATTGCTGTGACATGTTAACGAGCTAATATATCTTCTTGTATCATTACACGAACATCTTATACTTTTTAAATAAATTCCGTTGCGTCTTGCATTGCTAATATTTTTCTAAACTTAAAAATAAAAATTACATAACATTTGTTCCTAAATTTTTTTTAGGAGGATTTTGTTAGAAGAATCTTTTATTTTTCACAAATGTGATTTTTCATCGAAGAACACGATTAGAACGAAAACACCATATTATACGCATATATATATAACACATCGATTTTGAAAATAAAAAAATATATTAACAGCATTTTATCTCAGCCAATGCTTGCGTTTCTTGGAAAACATGATTCTCTGAATAAATGGAGGGACGCGTTGACCGCAAAAAAATATCGTCTTACGTTCTATTCAGGATTTACATGTATAGAGACTTAATGTGCACTTATCGATCGATAAATGTTACGACCGAAGAGAATCAATAAATTGGAACACACTGTCCCGAGGTGGCCGCTTGTAATATCTCATGTGCAGAAGAATAGATATAATAAAAAAATATTTAATCGCAAATTATATATATAATATATATAAATACGCGAGCTCTCATAATAATAATAAAACGGTCCACAGAAATTTTGGTGTTAATTTAACATAAATAAAGACACAAATACTGTATTAATATTTTAACACGAAATAAATGCAAAATTTCAAATAAATTTTGTGTAAAATTTAACATATTTTTAATGTAAAAATTTAAAAAAATATGTTAATTTTCGATTTTAT